GAAAGAACAATCTCAATGAGGAGTGCAGTTTGTAGACTGGCTGGCACTCACACATGTGCTAAACAGCAACAGCCTAAGGTCACAAGTCTCACAAGTGGAGGGTCAGGATTCTTGCTATTAAGTTCATGAAGTTCCTATAATAAAAATAACTCTCTCTGTCTATATTTAGATAAAACAACCAGTCTCAGGTCATTCTAGAGAGAAGAGCCAGGACTCACCAAAATGTACCTCTGAGCTAAACAACAATCCCCTAGATGGCTCAGACCCTCCTCCCTATAATCTGAGGCAGGGGCTAATTTCTGAGTAAATCCTTCATCCAGAAGCCATTAAAGGTCACAGGCATCAAGAGACACAGGCCTGTGTAATGGAAAGACCAGCGGCTGGAGAGTGAGCAGATTGTCACTAACGTGCTGTATAACCTCATGTAAGTCCCCTGCCCTCTGGTCATGGATTTCTTGATCAGTATACTGAGGGGTCATGAGATGATTTCCACAGCCCATTCACCAATAAGATTCTAGGTTCCTCTTGACATCCCTCTGTTCCCTGTATTGGTTTCAGTACTCACCTTGTGGCCATGGCAGGAAAGTGGCAGCACAGGGAACCCTGAGGAGGTGAGTCCGGTACTCCCACTGGGCTATGCTGATCAGAGGACCACAGACTCTCTGAAGACAGCAACTTGATTTTTATAGACTACTGAAAACCAAACAGGAAAAGGAAGCTGAACCAGAGACAAAGGGGAAACAAACCCAAGTGAAAAACTGAAACCTAGGTAGAAAATAGAGAAACAAGAAGCTAGCAGTGCAGAGCCCTACCAGCGTGGGTGGCTGAGAGGCACTTCACAGGCCCGACACCTCCACGGCTGGCAACCTCAAGCCTCTAAGCGCTTCCTGCAAGTGTGCAAGGGTGGGTGATGTCTGCTGGAGGTAGGGGCCAGGTCGTGGTGCTGGCCCCCGACGAACTAGCTCTATAGTCTGTCTAAGTCAATGCCATTTAAGAGGTCTGGGCCTCGGTTTTCCATCTGTTATAGAAAGTGCAGGCTCAGCACAGACGACTTCCTATAGGCCTTAAGAAAAGGCTACAAGAACTCTCAAGAGTCCCCGCTGACTCTCCAGAGAATAGAAGGCTAGATGATAAAGACTATAAGCTGATCTTTTTTTTTTGAGACAGAATTTCACTCCCATCGCCCAGGCTGGAGTGCAATGGCGCGATCTTGGCTCACCGCAACCACCACCTCCTGGGTTCAAGCGATTCTCCTGCCTCAGCCTCCTGAGTAGCTGGGATTATAGGCATGTGCCACTATGCCCAGGTAATTTTGTGTTTTTAGTAGAGACAGGGTTTCTCCATGTTGGTCAGGCTGGTCTCAAACTCCCGACCTCAGGTGATCCGCCTGCCTCGGCTTCCCAAAGTGCTGGGATTACAGGCATGAGCCACCATGCCAGGCCGCCGATCAAGTCTTAATATTTGACTCTGGAACAAACTTTGTACTTCTACCGAGCAGACACCTCTCTCTAATGAGGACATTTAAGTCAGCAATTTAGAGCCTGAAAGGAAAACATTTGAGGAACACTGAGAACTTGGCTTTGTCACTTGTTCATTAAATGGGTGGCCTCAACTGTAAAATGGGGTTAGTTATACTTACTTTGCCTATCTCCAACAGGGTTCTCATGAAGATAAAATCCAGTTCAATCTTTCTTTCAAAATCTACTGAGAACTCACTAAGAAGCATGCACTGTGTTAGAAATCACAGACAAAAAATTCAGAACGACCGTACTGGTCCTTAAAGGACTTTTATGGCTTAGAAAAGAAGAATCCTGCCCTCTGGTCATGGATTTCTCGATCAGTATACTAAGGGGACCTGAGATGATTTCTATAGCCCATTTACCATTAAGGTTCTAGGTTTCCTCTTGACATCCCTCTGTTCCCTGTATTGGTTCCAGTACTCACCTTGTGGCCATGGCTTGATAATGTTAGCAAATATTTAATAGATCCATTAAAATATTGATATAGTGAAAAATAGCTATACAGAGTACAGTACAAAAGAAGTATCAGTTCTAATTGCAGAGATGAATGCACTTTGAATGCTAAAAATGCATTTTTAAGAGGCTTTTAATGATATACATTTCCCCTTAAGCACTGTTTTAGTTGCAAACCACAATTTGGATGTATTGCAGTTTTCTTTTTTCTTTTGGTTCAAAATATTTTTAATTTTCTCTAGTGATTTCTTCTTTTATCCATGGATTATTGATAAGTGCTTTGTTAAATTTTGAAATATTTGGTGTTTTCCTGTATCTGTCGCTACTTATTTCCAATTTAATTCTACTGGGCCCAGAGAACATATTTGGTGTGACTTCTTCCTTCGTTTTTCCTGGTATGATCTCAATCCTTTCACATTTATCAAAATGTGCGTTATGGCCCAGCATGCAGTCTACCTTGGCGGATGCAGCATACGCACAAGGAAAGAATGTGTATTCTGAAACTGGTCGGGTGCAGTGTTCTAAAATGTCAATTAGGTCATGGTGGTTAATAGTATTGTTCAGAACGTCTATGTCCTTGTTACTTTTTGTTGCTGTTGTTTGTTTTTGTCTAATTATTCTATCAACTGCTGAGGGAAAGGTCCTGAAATCTCCAACTGTGACTGGATTTCCCTCTTTAATTCTGTCACTCTTTATTTCATGGGTTTTGAAGCTCTTATTAGGTACATTTTTCCATGCCGCATTGGTTTTCTGCACTGCTGTAACAAATTACCACAAACTGAGTGGCTTATAACACACACACTTACTATCTTAAGAGTTTTGTAAGATCATAGGAGGTAAGAAGCCCAACATCATCGTAAGTCCCACATGGGTTTCTCTTGCTCACCTTTCTCAGCTTCTAGACACTGCCTGCATTGCTTTCTCACAGCCCCTCTGTCTGCTTTCAAAGCACGCAGCATCGCTCTGACCCTTCTTCCACAGCAACATGTCTTTCTGACCACGGTGTGGACAGGTTCTCTGCTTTTAAGGACTCATGTGATTAGACTGGACCCAATGGATAATCCAAGATAACCACTCCATCTCAAGGTCCACAACTTTAATCACATCTCCAGAGTCGTTTTTGCCACGTAAGGTAACATTTTATTTATTTACTTTTTTAGAGACAGGGTCTATCGCTGTCACCCAGGCTGGAATGCAGTGGGGTGTGATCATAGTTCACTGCAGCCTCAAACTCCTGGCTCAAGTGATCCTCCTATCTCAGCTTCCTGAGTAGTTAGGACTATAGGCACACACCACCATGCCTGGCTAATTTAAAAACATTTTTTTAAATAGAGATGGGGTCTTGCTATGTTTCTGAGGCTGGTCTCAAACTCCTGGTCTCAAGTGATCCTCCTGCCTTGGCCCCCAAAGTGCTAGGATTACAGGCATGAGCTACCATGCCCATCCCATGTAAAGTCACAGAGTCACAGGTTCTAGGGATTAGGGCAGGGTGATGGCATTACTCTGCCTACTACACATCCTTTCACCTTCAGTTGATTTGTATCTTTGTCCTATAGATAGTGTATGATTGAGTCTTGCATTTTCACCCAGTCTGACAATTTCTATCTTTTAACTGGAGTATTTAGTCTACTTACATTTAGCTTATTGATACAGATGGATATAGGTCTACTACTTTGCTATTTGTTTTCTGTTTGTCTCATCTGTTTCTGGTTCCTCTGTTCTTCGTTTCCTGTATTCTTGTGGGTAAACTAAATACTTTTCAGAATTTCATCTGAATTTCTCTGTTGACTTTTTAGCTATACCTCTATTTTTTTACAGGTCCTTCTAAGGATTACAATATACATTCTTAACTTTATAAAGTACACTGAGTTAATATTGTACCACTTCAGTAAAATGTTAAGAACTTCATAATTGCTTAATTTCATTCTCCACTCCCATCCTTTATGGTGTAGCTGTCATATGTGTTACATACTCAAAATATAATGTTATATATTTTTGTTTTAGACAATCATATATATATATATATATATACAGCTGACCCTTGAACAGCACAGGTTTGACCTTCATAGGTCCATTATACTACTACTTTTTTTGAGATGTGGTCTCGCTCTGTTGCATAGGCCAGAGTACAGTGGTGCAATCACAGCTCACTGCAGCCTCAACCTCCTGGGCTCAAGCAATCCTCCCATCTCAGCCTCCCAAAGTGCTAGGACTACAGGCATGAGCTACCACCACGCCTGACCCAGGTCCACTTGCACATGAAATTTCTTCTACCTCCGCCACACCTGAGACAGCAAGACCAACCCTTCCTTTTCCTCTTCCTCCTCAGCCTACTCAGTGTGAAGATGACAAAGATGAAGAACTTTAAGATAATCCATTTCCAATTAATTACTAGTGAAACTAATTAAAATATATTTTCACTTATGATTTTAATAAAATTTTTCCCTAGCTTAATTATAAGAATATAGTGTGTAATACATATAATAACAAAGTACGTATTAACCAACTGCTTATGTTATTGGTAAGGCTTCCTGTCAACAATAGGCTCTTAACAGTTAAATTTTAGGGGATGCAAGTTTTAGGTGGATTTTTAACTGTGTGAGGGGCCAGCACCCGGATTGTTCAAGAGTCATGTGTGTGTGCATATGTGTGTGTGTATTGAAGAAATAAAAGTCTTTATGTTTACTCATATATTTCTCTTTTCCAGTAATCTTTATCCATCCCCGAACATCTGAATTTCCTGTTTTTGGTTTTTTTTTTTTTTTTTTCCAGCCTGAGGAACTTCCTTTAGAATTTCTTCTTGTTTTTTTGAGACAGGGTCTTGCTTTGTCACCCAAGCTGGAGTTCACTGGTGTGGTGTGATCTCGGCTCACTGAAACCTCTGCCTCCCAGGCTCAAATGATTCTCCTGCCTCCTGCCGTCTGAGTAGCTGGGACTAAAGGTATGAGCCACCATGCCTGGCTAATTTTTGTATTTTTAGTAGAGAACGGTTTCACCATGTTGCCCTGGCTGGTCTCAAACTCCTGGATTCAAGGGATTCGCTCACCTCGGCCTCCCAAAGGGCTGGGATTATAGGCGTGAGCTACTGTGCCCGGCCTCCTTGAGTATTTTTTGTACAACAGGTAAGTTGGCAATAAAATTCTCTTACTTTTCTTTTATCTGAAAAACATCTTTGTCTTCAAGCCTTAAAGCACTTTTTGCGAATAGAGAATACTGAGGATTTTTTGTCTTTCAGCACTTTAAAGGTATTGTTTCACTGTCTTCTGGCCTCCACGGTTTCTGAGAAGTCAGCCATCAGTCACATACAATGTACGTAATGGATTCCTTTTCCTTTGGTCATTTTTAATATTTTCTTTTTCTTTCGTTTTCAGCTGTGTGACTGTGATGGGTTTAGGTGTGGTACTTTTTGCATTGATTTTGCTAGGGTTTCATTGAGATTCTTAGGTATGTAATTTAAGGTTTTTCACCAAATTTGGGAAATTTTAGTCATTATTTCCTCAATTATTTTTCTTCTGCCTCATTCTCTTTCTCCTCTTCCTCTGGCACTCCAAGTACATGTATGTAGACCTCCTGATATTATCACAAGGCACTGGTAATTCTTTTTAAAATATTTTCCCATTTTTCAGACTAGATATCTATTGATCCATCTCCAAGTCCACTACCCTTTCTTCTGGACCTCTGATCCACTTTTAGTCTCATCCAGTAAATTTTTCATTTCATTTCCAGTAGTAGAATTTTCAATGGGTAAGTTTTTTATAATTTCCATTTCTCTGTTGGGATTTCCTGTTTGTTCACTTTATCCACCTTTTATTAAAGTCTGTGAACATATTTATTATGGGTAACTTGAAGAACTTGCCTGTTTGTTCCAACTTCAGGAGCATTTCAGGGTCTACTGACTGCTTTCTTCCCCTTAAGTATATGTCATATTTTCTGACTCTGTATGTCCACTAACTTATGATTGTATGTTAGATACTGTATGATACACTGCAGAAAGTCTGGATTATGCTGTCTTTCTTTAAAGATGTAAAGTCTGTTCTGGTAGTCAGGGAGATTACTGGCAGATCCTTTTGGTGCTACCAAGCTTGGCTCAAACCTTTCTTCAGTTCTATTTCCATTTTGAACTTAGCCTTAGGGGTGTGCCTCCCCTAAACAACCCCCCAACTCCACCTCCCACCCCCCACCCGCATCTGACTCAAGAGCACAGTCCTACTTCTAAGTTGTGACGTTCTGGGATCTCAACTGAATGCCTGAGGTGTTCAGGGAAGTTTCTTCGTTCAGGTTAAGCTGGATCTGCAACATCTCCCAGAACTGAATGACCTCTGGCATCATCATTGGGTTCTTAGCCCTACAGCAGGTGATCTCTGCCAGGCCTCATGAAGAGTCTCACTCTGCACATGCACACCCAGCTCTCAGCCAACAATCCAACTAGAATCCTTACAAAGAACTCTGCTGTCTTTGCCCCATCACAGGGCTTCCATTTCTCTAGTTCCTTGCCCTGCAAACTCCAACTATTTCAGTGGCATAGAATTCTAAAGTCTGCCCCGAGCTGACTAAAATCACCCTTCCATTTGGGCTCCACCACTCCATGCCGAGACTAGATGGTAACTGCAGGCAGAAAGCCAGGGGCTCCTCATGGCGTTTCCTCTCTCAAGAATCAAAGTCCTATCCTGTCTGTCCAAAGTCTGAAAATGGCAGGGATTTAATATCTTCCATGAGTCTCAGTACCCTTTGTATATTCAGTTGCTTCACATGTTTTACACAGTTTCGTAGTTGTTTTTGTCAAGAGAGCAAGTCATTACCATTATTCTGCCATGGCCAGAAGCAGAAGTCAATTATGATTATTAAACTACAAAAGGGTATTCTTTCTCATTTTCTGAAGATGCTAGCCTAAGAGTAAACATCTTCTCTGTGAGAAGTGTCTTTCAGTTTCACCCCTCGTTTCCTCTGTCCTTCACATGTTACTACTACCTTTTATCGGTTTCACTAGGTAGGTAACACGTAAGAGTGAACCTTCTGGGGCTATTATTTTAACTCTATCATCTAGCTTTAATAAAGCATTGAGAAGAATTATGAAAAGCAGCAAAAAATGTGGCAAGCTTTCTGAGCAGGGTGCTATGAGACAGGGATTCCAGCCCTTGCTTTGTTATTGACATGCTGTACGTTCCTGGGCATTCAGGTCTCTACTTTGATCCTGGTGTCTCCAGGTCCGATGAAAAAAAATGATCTTATAAATAACTATGTACTACAGGTATGGTACCAATTCCTAAATCGACCATGTCAGGGCAACAGAAAATGTTGGAAAGATGGAATAGGAACTGCTGACACTTGTGAAGCAATTTAGTGAGCAAGTTAAGAAACATATCCTGTTTAAGGTAGCATCTTACAATGTGACACCATGAATTGCACTCAGCACCTGGTATACTGCTTAGGTAGCAGGTACAGTGTAAGTGGTGATTGTATGAATAACTATGCATGGATGAATAAATTAATTAATGAGGAAGAAGGGCATCAACTCATACAGGATATTGATATTAAATCCTAAGGCATTTGGCTTTGGATTTTGAACACAGTAAATGCTCAATAAACAACAACTGTGTTGACTTGAATTAAAAGACGTGCTTTCCATGTATCCAGACCCCAACAGAAAGCAGAGTGGGCTGAAAATAAATCATAGAGCTATACTAGAAGACACTCTACTTAGGAGATCTAGTTCAAAAACTTGCTGGGGTGACTTGGGAGAGTTAACTTTCTTCTGTGGGTTTTAGTTTTCTTTTCTGTAAACAGACTAATCTCACTTCTCTTTCTTTCTCATTGGGATGTTTGTAAATGAAAGGGTCCTTCACTAACCAGAAATGAATTATGTTTGTATAATACTGACATTTCATGAGAATTTGTGTTAAGAAGGCAGGGTGTTTTGAGTACAAAGGATTATGTACAAAGGATTATGAAATCCTATTAACAATGCTGCAGTAGGCTTTTAAAATATAATATTTTATATGTGCTATCATTAGTTGACTCCTGGAACCTCAACTATCACTCCAAAAACCAAAATGGAAATTGGATCTGCCAGAGATTCTATTATTCTCAACTACTTTGCCTGAGAGACATTTCTTTAAAAAGTTTACACTAAAAAAGCTCAGCCAGCCACAAGACGCTAAAGTGCCTTTTCCTTTCCAGTTCACTCACAGTTCAGTTTCAGCTCTTGCTGACACGGCCTGCCTAAGCCTGCCTGCTCTGTGAAGTCCAAATGTTTATCATACCAGAGGGAAGACATGAAGAACAAACAACTCAGGTAAAAAAAAACAAAAAACAACTCCAAATAATCTTTCTGATGATCTGAGTGAGACCTGTCCTCAGAAAACGTTTCATTTCCAGAGTTACAGCATCTGGAAAGAAAGCGTAGATGGCCAAATAAAGAAACTCCGATGTCAGCTGAGCAATCTCTTAGGGGGACTGTAATATGGCTCTTCACCAATATCTGTGACCTTAGACTTCCGTGGACTTGTGTTCCTGAGGACACTATGCTACATATAATCTTTCTCCATATACATCTTTCATCATATAAAGGGAGAAGTAAAGGGGAAAAGTAAAATCCCACCACCAGACTCCTGGAATGGGAAATCTAGTTTCCTGTACACGTCCTGGTGGTTCAGGCTCCTGTGCCTTTGTAAACACAGCTGTCCTCACCTCCTGAAATGACTTCTTACCCCATCTACAGGCAAACTTGGGTTTGTCCTTCAAGATCCAATTTGCCTATATCTTCTTTAATGAAGTGTTTACTGAGCCCCCAGGATAGAGAAAATTATTCCTGCACTGTGCTACTTCTGTATTTTGAAATTTTATCAATTTAGTGGTCACAGAGCATTACCCCTTTAGGAAGCGACTATCATTTCTTATTTATCTTTTATAATCAATTGTGGGCAGCACAATTCTTGGTACATGGTGTGTGTTCAGAACCTTTGTTAAGCTATTTTGCCTGAAAGGACTGGGACTCAAGAAGTGCACGAATTACTAGTGGTATAAAAAGGGGACAGATAGGGCCTTGTGTTTTCAAGCCTAGAGTTGGCTGAGTCTAGCCTCTGATACCAGGCCACCCTGCCCTGAGGTACTCCCTTTCAACCACACTCCTGGTTAAACTCATCTGCAGCAGAAGTAGATCATATATGCCACTCAAGGAAACCGAATATTCTAAGGAAATCATTACTAATTCCCAGAAGAAAATTGTAACGTCTCAGAGAAACGCAAGTACCATAAAAGAAAAACTTAAAAGACAGATAACAAATGAAGCAACCTCTACCATGGGAAATAGAATTTTAAAATCCAATAAGTGTAATAAATGTCTTTGGAGACACAAGGGAAGATACTTAAAACATTAAGTGAGAATAAGCCATAAGGAAGAACAACCAAGCACTTTTTTTTAGTATAAAAATATAATTGCTGAAATAGAGAACTCAACAAATATGCTCAGCAGAAGCAGCAAAGATGAGAAACTGAGAATCGGGTCAAAGAGTTGACCCTAAAACATCAGGTAGGGAAAAAGGGACAGGGAGGACAGAAGTATCAATTTCTGTGTAAAAGGCATCTCAGAAGCAAAAAAAAAAAAGAGAGAGAAAAGTGAAATGACAGAAAATTTTGTAGAATTCAAGAAAGATGTAAGAGCTCAGACTGAAAGGGGTGGGCTGGGCGCATCACGCCTGTAATCCCAGCACTTTGGGAGGCAGAGGTGGGCGGATCACGAGGTCACGAGTTCAAGACCAGCCTGACCAACATGGTGAAACCCCGTCTCTACTAAAAATACAAAAATTAGCAGGGTTTGGTGGCGCATGCCTGTAATCCGAGCTACGCAGGATGCTGAGACAGGAGAACGGCTTGAACCCAGGAGGCGGAGGTTGTGGTAAGCCAAGATCGAGCCATTGACACCAGCCTGGTGACAGAGCAAGACGCCATCTCCAAAAAAAAAAAAAAAAAAAAAAGAAAAAGAAAACAACGTGCATGTACACATACAGACACAAACACCAATTATGGTATCTAATAACAGCAGAGACAGAGACAATTCTAAAAGCTTTCCACATAAAACCAAGTCACCTACAAAGGAACAAAAATCAGACCAGACTTCTTCACCTCAACTAGGGTAAAACAATGAGGTATTATCTTCAGAATGCTGGAGAAAACAAATTTTTGAACCTTACATTTCATTCCATACCAATCTAAAGTATCATATACATGCAAGGAAGAAAGAAATATATTTTTAGGTATACAAGATTTCAGAAAGTTTTACAGGTACAGACCTTCTTTGGAAAAATTTCACTGTATATATTCTAGCAAAAAGAAAATTTACCCCTAGGAATAAATAGCAGGCTATGGCACGTGGGAGCATCCAACTGAATACTTTTAAGCCATGAAGAGGGAATGAGGTACTGACACATGCTACAACAGACAGACCTTAGGAAACATTATGTGCAGAGAAAAACGTGAGACACGAAAGGTCACATGTTATATGACTATATTTATATGATACTCAGAATAGGCAGATTTAAAGAGACAGGATACAGATTTTTTTTTTTTTAGAAGGAGTCTCACTCTTGTTGCCCAGGCTGGAGCGCAATGCTGCGATCTCAGCTCACTGCAACCTCCCCATCCCAGGTTCAAGCAATTCTCCTGACTCGGTCTCCCAGGTAGCTGGGATTACAGGCATGTGCCACCAGGCCCAGCTAATTTGTATTTTTAGTGGAGATGGGGTTTCACCATTTTGGTCAGGCTGGTCTTGAACTCCTGACCTCAGGTGATCTGCCCGCCTTGGCCTTCCAAAGTGCTGGGATTACAGACATGAGCCACTGTGCCTGGCCAGGACACAGATTAGTGGTTGTCACAGGCTGGTGACAGGGGATGTATGCCTGGGTCTTAATTTATAAAGGTCACTGAGAATGACACAAAGAGGTCAGTGCCATTGAAAGAAAAGTTTAATGTCATTCACAGTTCCCCCACAAAATAGAGGCACAGCACAACATGCAGGGCCACGGGGGAAGCACCAGAGTCAATAAGGAGACAGGAGCAAGGGGAAGGCACAGGCCACAGCCCTTATTGGGGCTTCCATAGGGAACGCAAGGCAGACAGGATAAATGGCTTAGAAAAGGCTATAACTGAATAATTCTAGCAGGCTTTGGGGCCTACGAGGTGTCCCTAGCTGTCTGGAACCTGGCTCTGGGTTGATGTAGAGCAGGAGAAATATTGGCTTGGTGTGTGAGCATCAGATAAAGAAAGTGGCTGGGGTATGGACTCAGGATTGGTTGGTTTGTATATGAAAGACAGACTCACCAACAAAAGCTTCTTCTTATTGTCTCTAGGAATTAGCTAACCCTGGGGGGGTAGTCTCTTCCCCAGCCAACAAGGCCCCATAAAGATGTCAAAACGTTGGGCACAGTGGCTCACTCCTGTATTCCCAGCACTTTGGGAGGCTGAAGAGGGCAGATCATGAGGTCAGGAGATCGAGACCATCCTGGCCAACATGGTGAAACCCCGTCTCTACTAAAAATACAAAAGTTAGCTGGGCTTGGTGGCACATGCCTGTAATCCCAGCTACTCGGGAGGCTGAGGCGGGAGAATCGCTTGAACCTGGGAGGCGGAGGTTGCAGTGAGCTGGGATCGTGCTATTGCACTCCAGCCTGGTGACATAACGAGACTCTGTCTCAAAAAAAAAAAAAAAAAAAAAAAAAAAAAGGATGTCAAAACATCATAAAATACAAAAAAAATGATTGATACGAAGTGAAGGAACAGACTAATCAATATGGAACTTCCTTTTGTGATAAAAAGAACTATGCAAGAGGAGCTGGGCACGGTGGCTCACACCTGTAATCTCAGCACTTCGGGAAGCTGAGGCAGGATTGCTTGAGCCCAGGAGTCTGAGACCAGTCTGGGCAACATGGTGAAACCTTGTCTTTACCAAAAAATACAAAAAAAACATGGGTGCAGTAGCACGTGCCTATAGTCCCAGCTACTTAGGAGGCTGAGGTGGGAGAATAGCTTAAATCTGGGTGATAAAAATATATAAAAACTAGATAAAGATAGTGGTTACACAGCCACAATTTTACAGTGTGCAATCCAGTGGTGTTTAGTACATTCACATTAAAACAAAAATCTCATGAAGTTTCTTATTGCCTAAGGTTTAATGATGTTTGAATAAACAACAATAATCAATGACTATTTTTAAGTAAAATATCCATAACTTTGCTCGAAAATTCGACACAGCAACTTTTGTATACGTATAGGGTGTTATTCTATGAAGAACAGAAGGCGGTAAGAGTACATTAAAGACTGAAGGAAGCTGCAGACACTGACAAGCTTTAAAACGACGATAAAGAAAAATAAGTATAAGCATGGGTCACACTAAGGGAGGAGTAGCCATGAGGAGAATAAAAATAGAACCTATAGTTTCCCACTCAACTGAAGAAATGTAATATATCCAACAGAAGGCGAAATGAGAAAAAACAAGGAGAAAAAGCATAAAAAATAGAAAATATAGAATAAGACAGCAGTAATAAAAGCATGCTGATCTTTATTTTTTATTTTTATTTTTTGCTTGTGTACTGCTATGGACTGACTGTGTCCCCCAAAATTCATATGTTGAAGCCCTAACCCTCAACTGGAGACAGGGCCTACAGAAAGTCAATTAAGGTGACATGAGCTCCTAAGGGTAGGGCCCTGATTGATAGGATTAGTGTTTCTGTATGAAGAGATGCCAGAACATGTGCATGCTCTCACGTGCACTCTCTCTTTTTCTCTCTGCCAGGTGAGTGCACTGCAAGAAGGTGGCCATCTGCAAGCCAGGAAAAGGGTCCTTGCCAGAAATTGAACTGACGGGCATCTTGATCTTGGACTTCCCAGCCTCCAGAACTGTGAGAAAATAAATGTCTTGTTTAAACCACCTAGTCTATGATATTTTGCTACAGCAGCCCACGCAGACTAATACACATACCTTCTAAAAGTATTTAGAAAATCTGTGTATCTTGCATTTTTTTTTTTTTTTTTTTTTTTTTTGAGACAGGGTCTCCTGCTGTTGCCCAGGCTGGAGTGCAGTGGTGCAATCTCTGCTCACTGCAACCTCTGCCTCCTGGGTTCAAGTGATTCTCCACCTCAGCCTCCCAAATAGCTGGAGCTACAGGTACACACCACCATGCCCAGCTAACTTTTGTATTTTTGGTTAGTGACAGGGTTTCACCATGTTGCCCAGGCTGGTCTTGAACTCCTGGGCTCAAGCAATCTTCCTGCCTTGGCCTCCCAAAGTACTGGGATTACAGATATGAGCCACCATGCCTGGCCCCTCCTGCATATTTTTAAGGTGACACCAATTTTTCAAGATAAATTTAAATGGCTGCAAAAAGATATAATATTTAGAAACATTATATATGACATGCATGTGTTAAATATATTACATTTATAAATGCAATTTAATATGTAAGTGTAAGCTGTTTCAGAATTTACAAAAGAGGTCTGACATAGAACATAATTGGCAAAGCCTGTCTGCTCTGTCAAACATTCAGGCGAATCAGATTTACTTTCTGTCAGAAAAAGTTTGACCTTATTTTCAACTCAAACATGCTCTACACATCACAGTGAAAGCACAGCACTTCGGGATTCTTAGTTTTAAAACCAACTACCAGATAGGTAAGGCATGGGGATGCGCCATGAGTTGGTAGCCTGGAAGAGAAAAGACCTGCCCTTCTGTTATTTTTCACAGAGACCTTCTTTGCTTTGCTTTTATGAGACTCTCTTTTAGGGCCAACGAGTTCTCAAATTATTTCTGTTTGGTTCACCGAGGTATTATGTCCTGAGGTAAGCTAAGGAAGCATCGTAAAATGTGGAAGGGGTCGGTGACGTGTCTGTCTTCTGTACACTGAGAGGAGAAACACGAAAGCTGATGGGAGAAAGGAGCAGCAGCACGCAGGCACATTTCCTAACAGATCAACACTGGCCTGGAATATACACGGAAGTGACAAATCAGGGAATTGGCTCTCTTGCCAATTTACCCCCAGGAAGTCTTTATGTACCCCCAGGAATAAACATGCCCCAGTTTGAAGACTGCTGTGCTAATGTAACAGCAATGACCATACTATAAACAGGTTACAATTACTGGCCAAGAGACAGGAATTGTTAGATTGAATAAAAAACAAGAACCAGAGTTACGAAGTCTACACAAGATAGCTAAAACCAATGAATGCTTCAAGACTGAAAATAAAGAAATAGAAAAGTTGTAACGCTGTTATAAGTAAAAAGAAAATTACGTTAGCAATTTTAATATCAGACAAATAGAATTTAAGAAGGAAAAGAGATTAAGAAACCAGAAGAAGATTATACAGAAGTCACCTTCATCCATGGGGATACATGTTCCAAGGCCCCCAGTGGATGCCTGGAACCATGACAGTACTGAACCCTATGTATACACCATAGGCAAGAGTAGATCTGATAAGCTGCTAAGTGACTGACAAGCAGGTAGTGTGGACAGCGTGGATAGGCTGGACAAAGAGATGATCCATGTCCAGTCAGGACGGAGCAGGACAGTGCAAGGTTTCATCATGCTACTCAGAATGGCCTACAATTTAAAATTTACAAATTATTTCTAGAACTTGTCATTGAATTTTTCTGGAACAAAGTTGATCTCAGGTAACTGAAACAGTGAAAAGCAAAACCATGGATGAGGCGGGGGAACTACTGTATGCTAGTAAAAATAATGAGGCTGGGTGCAGTGGCTCACACTTGTAATCCCAGCACTTTGGGAGGCTGAGGCAGGTGGATCACTTGAGGCCAGGAGTTCGAGACGAGCCTGGGCAACACAGTGAGACCCCCATTCCTTAATTTTTTTTTTTAATTAGTTGGGCGTGGTGGTGCCTGCCTGTAGTCCTAACTACTTAAGAAGCTGAGGCGGGACTACTGCTTGAGCCTGGGAGGTTGAGGCTGCAGTGAGCTACGATCTTAACCACTTCACTTCAGCCTGGGGGACAGAGTGAGACCCAATCTCAAAAAAAAAGAAAAAAATCATGAGCTCATACACAAATAATATAGCATTATGGAGAGAAATAAACACTTGTAGCAAATATTGTTAAAATATGAATTAAATATTTTTTAAAACACACAAATTTTTAAAAAGCAAGGACACGTTAGCTCCCCACTGAGATATCTCCTGTTGACATTTCTTTTAAAGTTACATATGTTTAAAGATAGAAAACTCAAAGTACAGGAAGATACAGAAGGTAAATTAAAGCTCCTCTCCTTTCCCGGATCCTTTCTTCCCCAAAGATAACCACTGTTAACACTGGAAAAAAATGTTTTTAGAGGGTGGGAGTTGGGGGATTTACAATCCTCATTTATGGCAGTCCACTGTTGCTTCCTTTATACCTGTGTCCCCTTGAGCGAGGATCAACTAACGTAAATCCTGCTTTGTAAAGAGGCCAGAAAACTTATGCAACTTAATGGCTCAAAAAGTGATGCAAACATGCTATAACATGGATGAACCTTGGAAACATTAGGCTAAGTGAAATAAATCAATCACAAAAATCACATATTGTCTGATTCCATGCATACGATATGTTCAAAAGGGGCAAATCCATAGAGAAAAAAGTAGATTGGGGTTGCCTAGGGCTGGTGAGGAGAGGCTGCGGGAGACGGGAGACTGACTGCTAGTGGGTTGAATCTACTTTTGGGGTGATAAAAACGTTCTACAATTAATTGTCGTGATTGTTGCAAAACTCAGTGAATATACTAAAAACAACTGAGTTGTATACTTTCAAGATGTGAATTTTATGGTATGTAAATTATATCTCAATAAAGCTATTGTTTAAAAATGCCCCAAATGCAGACTGAAAATATAAATGCTTCCAACTGGGTTATGAAGTAACAGGAGAATTTTGAGACTGTTGAAGAAAACCATCCCATCATTCTGACTCACATCAGAAACAATACTCAGTAGAAAGGACTGCATCCAGGGTGATGATTCTCAAGTTATTTCAGCTGTCCAGAGAGTAAAAAGACATAAAACGAAGCAAGGGCACTTCTGGCAAAAAAGGCCTCCCTAGAATACAGCAGTTGCAATACATGTGCTCTTCGGCTTCCAGGCAATTCCTGTGAACTTGAACGACGCTCACACACTTTGACGCAAGCCTACGAACTGGACCTGAGAACCGTTTATTTCCCAAGCTAGAAGTTTCCAAATCTTCTGCTTCCTTTCAATGATTTCCAGTGGTTTTAAAGAACATTTAAAGAAAAATAGGACACATTAGCTAGACTTGGTTAATTACAAATCAAATAATGCAAAACCACTTCACCACTTAAATTACTAGAGTTTTTGTTTTTCAGACCTTTTTGCTTGGTTTGGTTTTGCTTCTATTTCATTTCCACGAATGTAACACCTGTATAGATTGGTGATGTAACCACCACCACAATCAGAAGGCAGAAGAGTGCCATAACTCCCAAGCTCCCCCAGCTCTCCCTTTGTAGTCATACCCACCCCCACCAATTCCCAGCAACCACTGATCTGTTCTCCCTCTCAATAGTTTTGTCTTTAGGAAAATGTCATGTTAATAAATCATATAACATGTAGCCTTTTATGACTTCTTAGGCCTCCTTTACTCAGTGTAATGCCTTTGAGATTCATTTGAGCTGCTGTGTTATTAATAATTAGCTCCCGGATGGGCGAGGTGGCTCAAGCCTGTAATCCCAGCACTTTGGGAGGCCGAGACGGGCGGATCACGAGGTCAGGAGATCGAGACCATCCTGGCTAACACGGTGAAACCCCATCTCTGCTAAAAAATACCAAAAAAAAAAAAAAAACAGCCAGGTAAGGTGGTGGGTGCCTGTAGTCCCAGCTACTCGGGAGGCTGAGGCAGGAGAATGGTGTAAACCCGGGAGGCGGAGCTTGCAGTGAGCTAAGATCTGGCCACTGCACTCCAGCCTGGGCCACAGAGCGAGACTCCGTCTCAAAAAAATAATAATAATAATAATTAGCTCCTTTTTTTTTTTTTTTTAAATGCAGAGTCGTGTTCTGTTGTACGTATGTATTACAAGTTGTTTATCCATTTAATCGAAGGACAATTTGGGTTGTTCACAGTTTTTGGCAATGGTCATGAAAGTTTTCATTTCCATAGGGTGACTATGTAGGATTGCTGGGTTTATATGTTAACTGTATGTAAAACTTTATGAGGAACTGCCAAACTGCTTTCCAGAGTAGCTGGGCCATTTTGTATTCCTTCTGGCAGTGTAGGAGAGTTGCTGCTCTGCACCCCCAAGGCACTGTCAGTATTTCATCTTAGTCACTCTAGTAAGTGCATATGATATCCTAATTTTAACCTGCATTTCTCTAATGATTAATGATGTTGTGCATCTTCTCTCGTGCTTATTTGCCATCTGTATATCCTCTTTGGTGAAGTGTCTGTCTTTTGCCCAATTGAAAAAACTGAAATTACTTTCTTACAGTTAAGTTTTGAGAGTTCTTCATACATTCTGAAGACAAACCCTTTGTATTTGTAAATATTATTTCCAAGTCTGTCTCTTGTCTTTTCATTCTTATAAGATTATCTTTCACAGAATAATAGTTTTTAATTCTGATGAAGTCAAAATGTATCTTTTTGATGAAATTTAATTTGATGAAGTCCAACTTCTCCTTTTTCTTTTACGGATGGTGCTTTTGCTGTCATGTCTAAGAACCTCTTCCCTAAATCCCAGGTCATGAAGATTGTCTCAAGTTTTCTTCCACAAGTTTTATAGTTTTAGATTTTATATTCATATTTATGAACCATTTTGAATTAACTTTTGTATAATGTGTGAGGATTAGGTCAAAATTCACTTCTTTTTGCATAAGGGTGTCTAATTGTTCCAGCACCATTTGCTGAAAAAGCTATACTTT